GCGGGTGTCGGGAGCAGAGGGTGGGGTTGGCGGGCGGGCGGAGCAGCCATCGACCGTGGGCGGAGGCGACTAACGCGAGCGTTCGATAGCGCCTGCACGCGGCGCCGCCACCGCCGTCGCCGTTCCACTGCCCCCGATGGGATGGAGGCGCCAGGGCTCCGCCCCTCCCCCGCAAGCCCACGTAAGGACCTCGAGCGCGCAGCGCCCCATGGCCGGGGCCTCCAATCATCGGTTTCATTGGCTGAGGCTTGAAGTGCCGAGAATGGCCGCAGTGAGGTATGTGTTTCGTAAAATAGTGTGAACTCTATTATTAATTAATTAAATTTTTATAAGTCAAATACTTTTAAAGACTACTTGGAGCTTTCTGCTACAAGTACCATCTATAGAGGTTTTCTACAGCTTCGGGATTATTTGCTCCATATTATCATATTAAGTCCAATTATAAATTAAGGTAGCAACGAGCGGGTTTGGCAAAAGAGAACATTAACAACGAATGTTTTATAAGACTGATAATGTAAAGACTTAAATTTTCCACTAACAGCCCAACAGATCTCAAGAAAACGTTAATTATAACGGGAGTGTATCAATGCATCGGTTACATGATAGGCCAACCAAATAAAAGTAATGTCTACTTAGGAGAGTTTTTCGTTTTGAGTAAGTTCGCTATAAAATGTCACAGTAAAAGAAGAAATGTTTTTGCGTAAACATTTTATATCTTTTGCTTAATGTACTATGCATTATACAAAGTGTCAACTCAACATTACTCTCTGCAGCCTCAGGCAGACAACAGTTTTCAGATGCACAAATACAAATACCACGTACCGCAATCCGTTGTGGTGGCACAACTGCATTGCAGCAGAATATCTCGTTCACTTGCTATACCTTGGTCTGAAGAGGATTGGGAGTTTTGCTATACATGACTATGAGAGGTTATAAGAATTTCGTATTTTGTGAGAAGAAAGGTTGGTATAGTTTCTTAATAATTTATGGACATATTTTTCAATGGCCGAGGTGGCTAAGAGCGTGTACCGACCCAGCGCTTCGGTCCGAAGGGTCGAAGATTCGAGTCTCGCCGTGGGAATGGTTGTTTATCCCTAGTCTCACATGTATGTGCTATCGTGGAGGTCCTCCCGTTCTGCTGATCCCACATCAGAGGAGCCCGTGTTGGTGCCTAACGTATAGTCGAATATGCGTCCCAACGAGACGTACAGGGCAACAGTCTGTCGGCTGGATAAAGGCCCTATGAAACAAATTAAGTTGAACAGTTTATTACGTGAGCCATATGAATTTTTATAGTGTTATTATTATTATTATTATTATTATTATTATTATTATTATTATTATTATTAATTATTATTATTATTTATTAATATTATTATTATTTATTATTATTATTAATTATTATTATTAATTATTATTATTATTATTATTATTTGTATCACCAGCCATGATGATAGAATAAAAATATTTCAAACATTGACAAACTCAATTATTTAACGTTTTAATTTATACTGACCAAATTCCGCGTTCTCAATTACTAATTTCAAGTGTTACACTACAGTAGTTATACCTATATGACAATACATTATTAGCAATTACAAATATATAATTAAACATATTATTCATTACATCTGAAAAGTAAATCCATAGAAATTAATTTTGCAACTGAAAGTCTGTGTACCAATGGATTGAAAAGGTTCAGTGTGATCCTTATTCACCTTAAGGCGGCTCAACACATTCGGTTTTCGACGAGCAGCTCGTCCAATCCCGAACAGCTAATGTCTTCGGCGAATGTTCGCTCCCTTGATGTTTCCGACACGCGGTGGGTAGGGGGAATGCCGAATGTTCGGCGCTCGGCGAATCGCAAGCAACCCTTTTCCTCGCCACTTTATCCGGCGCAGCGAACTCTGGGGAGACCACGACGGCTTGACCCCCTACAAGTAACAATCAATCCCCTACTAGTTCTGTAGGCAACAATCTATGCTAATACAGGTGAATTCAACGACAAGTAATCGACACCGATACCACAAAGAGTATTGCATGATTAGTTATGATATTTGTTCAGACACGTCTTCAGGATTGTCTCATTGTTCACACAAAGTGTGGTAAAAAGTAATAAAACACAAACGCGACGAATAAATAATTTAAACAATATTTTGATATGTGCGCAACGATCATTACTTTTCGCCTATCGCTAAGAGCAGATTGGTCCCTAATATACTCCGCCAGCGGCCAGTAGCGATGCGACAGGACTGATACCTAAGAGTTTGCTAGAGGCTAATAGCAGCGTGCAAGATAAAAAGAATGTTAATCTAATACAAATGTACTGTAAAATAAAATAAAATTGTAGTATTTCATTGAAATATGAATCATTTACATTAAAATTAATAATCTTTAACACCGTGGTTTCCATAAAATTGATCTTTTTTCTCTTTCACAAAGATTCTATATGAAGAAAGCCCTAGCGGCGCCGGTTAGTTTGCTTGTTCACAAGAAGTGACAAAGTCTCGGTGGAAATATAATGCATGTGTGTTAATTTATTTGTTGGGGTTTACGGGTTCTTCAACTGTCGAGAAAGTGGAGAACCCACAGAAACCCTGCGGTGAGCTCTCTATCGCATATTCTACATGGACACTGGGAAAAGCGAAGCGCATCTGCCCGGTCGCGGGATGGGCTGCTGGACTTTCCTGGGCCGCTATCTTGTTTCACATACTGCTGCTTGTTCGATGCCCGGAAGAAGGGAACATGCGAGGTCCGCGCCTGGCTTTAACTCGAGAGTTGAGTACATTAGAGGGTATTAGTTTTCTGGTGGCAAGTTTTCCCATGTTAGGGGCCATTTCCTTCGCCCCGCGGTTTGATCTCTCTTCAGCGGATTTAAAGCCAGGGAGCGATAGAAGGATACGCTTGGAAATGGATTGAAGTCCTTCGGCCTAGCCACATTCTCCCATCTAATGTAATGACACGAATTGACTTTCAAATAAACAAATTCGTAAACAATAACCACAACAACAAAATACGCCATTTAAAGATCTGTTAAAAAATAATATTCGATTTCCATTGGAAGTTTGATTCCCACCACGCCGCCGTTGTCCGTCACTCAGAGAATGATTCACTGCACAACTGGAGGAGCACGTTTTTTCAGAATACCATCACCGGGGTTCAAATCGCGGTAATTTCACTTAAGGGCTTTCGAAGACGAAATGAGGTCGCGGGAGATTTGAGGATTATTACAAGCAGCTTCTCACCCCGCCTCTGCCCAATCCATTTACTTTCCAATCGTTTTTCGCTATCTCGATGTTACTTTAAATCACACTCAAGGGCGGCCAGTGAAGATAAAATCCTATTTTAATCCGTCCGTAGTGGCAGTGAAAGGATAATATGATAACGTCCTAGAGCATTACGGATCTTACACCGCATCAGAAAGATGGACGTTTTTATGGCCCTGGAAATTATTTCTTCAGAAAAAGAAAGAAAGAAAAGCCAAAAAAAGAAATCCGGATTCTATCACATTCTAGATTCGAGAAATCATCGCACAGGATCCATTAGGTCCACATTTCAAGCCAAAAGCCAGTAATTCAAGCACCGCTCATTTCATTTCGATATACTGATGGTCAAACGGATTTGCACAGGATTCTCTCGTCTTCCTCTCAGTGTCCTCTCCTCTCATTTCCCCACCCTCATTCGCATCCTCTTCATAATTATCATTCCATTTATTCTCTCCAACCCGCTACCTCTGTGCTATCTCCATGTGGACTTAAGCGTCAGTGCAGGTGCCACTTTCCCTATAAATACGAACTGTCTGCTCCTCTCCCGTCTCACACGGGGCTCGTCGCCAACCTTTTCTACGCCTCCGTCGATCTCATCGGCCGCGTTGCTTCACTACGGAGATCGACAGCGCTACTCTTGAACTCAAAGGTCTCATCACATTGCGATGCGTTGATGGATAATTGGAAATCATCAAGAAATGTTCTTCTTCCATTTAATCAAATGTATCACCCTGTCGGTAATTTGCGCACAACTAATTATAGAAAGTCTATCCAGATAGCTGAGATCGCTAAGGCAGTAGTGTCGTGGAGATCTCGAATCGAAGGATCGAGGACAGTCTCGAGCATGGATATATTTGTGATCGTCCCTTCACCCTTAATCATCATCCTATCACTTCATTAAAATAAGGATTAATACGTCCCTGTGCGAGGATGAAGTCCTTGCCCTTAATGTGATGTGCAGTGGGCTAATAAAAAATATAGAAAGGAAGGTAAAGGGCAGAGCAAAGATGTGCACAATAATAGACATTAGATAAAAGTCATTTGAAAGGTGTGCGGTAATATGTATCGTAGGGAAGGACACACATTATTGGAACTCTACAAGCTTTGCTCAAATAGAAGACAAATAGAAGTTATGTGGATATGGCGAAATAGAAACATAATGAAGCATGAGGGATTTTCCATAGCGAGTTTTTCATTTCGGCAAGCAAAAGCAAGTTTTTATGCAATCTGACAACTAAGATTTCATTAAAGAAGGAAAAAAATAAAAGCACCCGAAGGGTGTGTGCTATGTTAATTTTCACAGTATTCACGTGCCAAGACAAATGTAATTTGTTTTTTTCTGTGATGAATACCCTTAGTTGCAGATGTTTCTCTTCCTGTCCTTGCGTTTGATGGAGCAATTCTCAGTCGGGACGTTGACTAAAATCACTACCTTACCAATCCCGTTTCTACTTCTTCATCCAAACGCCAATACCATGCATCATCTCATCCCAATATGTCACCCGAACAGCAGTGTGTAGAAAAAAAATCAAAACTATCAGTATCCTTCCTCAGTTTTCTTTTAGAATTTATTATTTTTCAGTGAGCCAGATTTACGGTAAATCTTTAAGAATTATCTATTATCTTTCATGTTTAGTTATTTAATTAAAACATTTTCATTATTTTATCGATGATTATTTTTTAATATTACCTTTACAAGAAGTTGCTTTAAAGAATTTGACGGAGTGAAAAAGGGTAGTTTGTATTACGAGTAGACTCTACGTAATTAATGTTTGGGTAGACCATGAAATGCGTGAAAGATTTCCCCGGAAACTTAAACAAGATTGCCAGCTGATTCGTACAACATACGTTAGATGACAGTAAATCGAATTGAATTGAATTGAATTTGCCTTATTTTACGTGGCGAGACTCGGGCCATCAGGCCCGCTCTTCCGTCTGACCACGCAAATTTCGCTACGCTCCTTTCACCAAC